CCACACAAATCCATATGGACCTTCATCGACCTGATAGTACTCACCATTTTCTTACTTTTGAAAGAAAATCTTACCTTGCTTCCCCTTGCACAAGCCTCACAAATATTATCTTCCTTGAACTTAATGTTAGGCAGCCCAACTTGGCACCTATTCTTCCCTAGAACAAAAAATTATTTACTTAGACTTGTTTTTTTTTTTTTTGCTACACGTTCACTCTTATAGTGTCCAATGTTACCCCAGTGAGTGCAAATCTTGTTCAAGAAGTGTGAGGTACTTGCTTTCAGGATCTCATTTAGGTGCAGAGTTCCCAAAGCCAAGTCTCTCTCTATTGCTACTATGGTGTTATTGTAGCCATGAAAGTGCATCAGATGACTTGTTTCATTTACATGTTCTATCAAGCACATGTTTAACCTTTGTCAAGTCCTCTTTCAAGACTCTTACCAGTTCATCCCTTTTGTGTAGCTCATCTTTTACCTTTCCTAATTCTTCTTCTAGTTTGAGTTATGTGACACTAGCTATTTCTTTACCTGTTCCTAACTTTAATTTTAGATTTTCAGATCTGAGTTCTAAGACAGTTGTATCAAGTGCTTGAACCTGGTTCTTCAAAACAGTATTTTCCTTTTCAGTTTCACAAGCCCTAATTTTCCGATTTTTGCACTCTGCTTTCAAAATGACACACTCCTTTGATAAATGATCCTTTTCAGTACTTACATCTTCATACTCATCAATTAACTCCAGTAGCAATTCAGATAGTCTTTCTTTATAAAGAAATTTAATTATATCTTTTAATTGAAGGAAACTTACCTCAGGTTCTTCTTCAAATTCTCCAATAGCCAATAGAGCTCGTTCATCATCATCATCCTCATCAGAACCCTCATCTAAGCTATCTTCCTAGTAGCAATCATTGCTTTGGTTGATCCTTTGTTGTCGCTTTTTTTGGGATGAACTTTTTCCTTCTTCCTGTTCCTTTGTCCAGCTCTTTTCTTTTTCCATTCAATCTCCCACAAAGGACAGTTCTTGATTATGTGATAAGTATTTCCACATTTGTAGCATCCATCAGTCACCTGCTTTTCTGGAGCTTTGGCCTTGTTGTAGCTTCCCCTTCTTGAAGAACCTTTTTCTCTCCTTAGGTACTTTTTGAAGTCTTTGGTGATCATTGATATTTCATCATCTTCTAAATCAGAACCTTCAGTGATTCTGAGTGTCATGCTCCTTTCCTTCTTAGGTACATCCATCTTCATGGTTTGCCTCCTAAGCTCATAAGCTTTGAGATTTTCAATCAACTCATCCAAGAGAAGTGTAGCAATATTCTTTGATTCCTGAATGGCAATGATCTTGCTTTCTCAAGTGACTTGTAAAACCCTAGTTAGGATTTTTTTTCAACCATTTCTTCTTTAGATATAATCCTTCCAAGAGACCTCAATTCATTTTTCAAGGTAGTGAACCTTGTGTACATCTCCTGAATGGTTTCTCCATCCTTTATGGCAAGATTTTCATATTGTAAAAACAACACCATTCCTCTTAATCTTTTCACTTGAGTTGTTCCTTCATGGGTCACTTGCAGTGTGTCCCATAATTTCTTAGCAGTGGAGCAGCCTTAGATTCTGTTGTACTAATCAGGACCAAGTCCAATGACAAGCCATTTTTTGGCTTTTTTCCCCACTTCTTCAAATCCTAATAGTGCAGTCACCTCTTGTTTTTGGAACATCCTCACCTTCAGCATTCTTCTTGACTGTTGACAGAGGGCCATCCATGATTATATCCCATAACTCATAATCTTCTTCCTGCAAATGATCTCTCATCCTTAGTTTTTACCATGAGTACTGACCATTAAAGAGCGGTGGCCTAGCAATGGATTGCCTTTCCCAATTTTTAGGTGGTGCACTCATCTTGATCTTTTTCTAAGGTATAGCCACTTCAAGGATAACCCGCTCTAATACCAATTGATGTTTTATACTTCAATACCATACAAGAAGGGGGTGATTTGTGTGGTGTCCAATTTTCGCGTGCACTGCCTTACAGATTGACCTGGTTCTTCTATGATTTCCTTCAACTGCAGTTGCAGATAAGTAATGCAAAAGATAAAGAACACAAGTATTTTTACGTGGAAAAAACCAAGGTCTACTTCCCGGTAGGACTTTTCCCAAGTACTTCACTACAACTCTGAGCCAACAACAAACTTTATAACCTCTTGCGAACCTAAGGATTAACTCTAACCTTTGTAGCAACATGCCATAGGTTGTTGCGACTACTTCAAGTTAACTCTAAATTGAATGATACAACTCAAGTACCTATTACAATCTTGTTCTAAAGAAAGCTGAAAGGTACAATTCAAAAGCTCCTACTAAAATTGAACTAGAATTAAAGACATACACATGGAACCGGTTCTTCAATCTGGTTCATGTAGCTTCAGGTTCGTACTCTTGAAACTCACAGGGATTGCTCACAAAATGCCTTGTTATTTTGCTCTCAATTCTTGCTTAACTTCAGTATGAGTGTGATACCTATAAAAGAGAACAAACTGATATATATAAAGTTAGTAGAATTAGGATTAACTAGAAGTGTAATGCTTTACTCTTCCTTGGTGGAAGGGTTCTAGTTATCTTCAACTTCTAACTCTTTCTTTATCTTGGATAGAGTTCTCTTCAATTAAGGAGTCTTGCTCCTTATCAAATATGCAATCTTTTCGTTCAAGGATTATCACAAATAACCGCTTATACTTATCCCTTGCACGTGTATGCCTTTTGCTTGATTTTGACTGTAACCTGTGTACAGTGTCCATGAACATGGTTCATGCATGTGTTCCTTTGTCAATCATCAAAACCTATACCGCTCAGGTCAACAGTATCCTTAGCTAGTTTACAAATAAGTGCTCTTGATGTTGCCGGTCTAACCCTGAACCTATGTGCCAATGACTTCATTTGTGAAAAAAATTGCACAACTCGAAGATCATGAATTTGATACTTTCTGTACCAAAAGTTAGCAATATCTTAAATAGTAAACATGCCCAAAAAAAAAAAAATGGGGAGGGCGTGTCGCAGTTAAAAGGTAGGTATGAGAAGGACCTACCATGTTAGGGGGGAACATGGGCAGTTCCAGATTTGCTGCTTCTCTTTCAGTCATCCATCCTTTTCAATCATCACCCTAAAATGATCAAATCTTATAACAAAAGAAAACATGCTGAAATTAAGATTTCACATATGTCAAAAAAATTGACTCGTTTGTAGAACCGCATAAAATTGAATAGTTTACCGTGCTTTTACTTTCATGTCACCGTATAGTTACAAACCATTGAAACACTAACTCTACAGAAATCTTGAATTTCGTTATTTGGGGTGATTTGATTTTTTGTCGGATGTCAACAGAATATACCATAATAACCTACAATATTTTTAGTAGATAAACTATCGTAGTTGTTTCCCATGAATACTGATCGACAGTTCAAGTATATTCGATACGGCAATAAAATATAATGTTTCTGCTCTGTCCAGATTAATATTTTTGGAGGCTTTTTCTTTTTCCTGTGTGGTGAGTTGGTGACGTTCTTTTATTCTTTTACTCACGCTATGAGCTTTTATATTTTTAATTCAATTAGGAAATCACTTACAATGAAGCAACAAAATACAAAAAGTTGTCTGCCTTTGGTTGTAATTGAACATTAATAAACAAATTATACAAATAAATCGGTTGCTAATTCACAGGTAAACAAATACAACATGTTTCAACTGTTGATGATTCTTCTGCATGATGAATCTATTTTTCTCGACATGTCACCTTTCACGAACATATGCTTGCTACGATATTCCCTTCTCAATTCGGGTATGGCAAAACAAAAGGAAGATTGATGAAACGTGGCCAAGAACAGCACCTCTGCTCAAATGAGTATATCAAATGAAATGAAAGATTCATGTGACATGGTCCTCAACAGTAGTGGTAGGTATATCATGTCAAATTATAAAGGACTATGTTCAACTATTTCCGCGACCCCAAACAAAAGTTGTATCTCCTGTTTAATATGACACATCAAACTTTGTTTTTATATCATGAGGATCAAAAGTGTAAGACCACCACGTCGTCACACAATTTGTCCCAACCAGAAGCCGTATGGATTTTATCCACCTTCTCTCCTGCTAATTAAATACTGACAGAGGAGGCAGGGTCCCGTTTATTAAAAAGACCTCTGCTGCAGCGTCCCGTCAAACTTTGGCTGCTTTGTTTGGGCAAATAACAAGCAAACAGAATGGGACTTTGTGATACATAGCCACATGATGATGATAAGCCCACCATGTGCACTTTCTGTTCATACACTTGGTTGCTAAAGCAGTTAGAAATGGCCCAACACAGCATTCAATTAGTTATAGATGAATTATAGTTGATGTTTTCTCCTGTCCAACAACATCAGCCTCTAACCATTATTATGTGACAAAATTTCATTTTTGTAACAAACCTAAAACTAGTGACAGGTTACCAGAAAACAAGTTCATGAATGCAATATGTAATCTACTAGCGGAATTCCGACATTTCACATGTTCTTACAGCATCACATTATCAGTAAGAAAAAGCTCACGATATGGTTCTTACGTCTAGGGAAATCAAAGCTGGAAAGATTTTCCTGGATTCTAAGATGTCTAAAAATAAAAGATGTTTTCCCTTGATCCTAAGATGTCTACAAAATAGAGGTTTCAACAATAGATGTAGCCTCTTCTCAATACTTACTAGTATCATGGGCACCTAATAGAAAAATCCCACATCTGGTGATCCAGAAATACTAACTAATTATTGGCCATTAAAATGCAGAAACTAACTAGCCATGCACAACACAAACTACAAAGTACCAAGCAGTGGTAAAAGTAGCATTGTTAATTCGATGAATACTACTGTCCACCTAACTTCATAAACAACTCAACAGTGTTACTGAACTCAGCAAAATGAGTGACACAAACGCCTATGTGAGTAATAATGTGATTAGCAGTTACAAACCCCCAGCAGGACATCGAGCATGAACAACGAAATTTGTATGTTCATATTTCCTCAAGTCTGGGAAAAGGTTTCGAAGTTTCAGATAAATACCTAACCTACAACAGCGCCCACAAAGATGCGAGGGGCACAACTGAAGAAGCTAAAGAACACACGCTCAAAAAAGAGTAGGTGCAGGAATCTCCACACTTCAATTACAGCTGATCTTGAATACGAAAACCCAATGGAAAACAAGTTTCCATATGGAATCTGAAGCTACATAACTTACAATATGCAAGTATAAATTTCTACCCCCTATCGATCAATGAACGCAGTGGTTTATTGAAAGTTTTGTCAAATAATGAGTCTTCCAGATATTCTATGATCAGGACCTGAGTAGTTTTCCGCACATTCAAACAATAAACAAAGACCTCAAGACGTCAATTAACTAGCCAAAACTAATGATACAGCAAGTTCATAGGAATTTATAGCTCTCAACATAGGCTTGGATAAAACTTGGCTGACTTCTTGAAGGCAGTAAGGTCTTTGATGGCCTGCACAGATGCTACAGGTGAATCCGCATCTTTCCGGTCAGTGTTGCAACCCCATACCCGAACAGAGAGTCTCCGGCACTTGGGGGATGGTCGTCTTAAATAAGTATGGTACCACTCAACTAAATCACTTTTTTGGATGCTCCGCAGCTCCTCTGCTTCCTTCTCAGACATGTCAAACATGTACCTGAAATCAGTGAAACAGAGATGAGGTCCATACTAAAATTGAAGCTATTTCTTTTTCTATTTTCATTTGACAAAGCAAAAGGCTAGCTACTTGGAGTTGAATTAACCTGATTCCGAGCCAGTTTGTGGTAACATATATGAGGGCATACTACGTTATAATACTTCATGTGAATAGATACATACAGTCAGCAAATCA